ATGTTTTATTTATTATTTTACCAATTTTACGTTTGTTTATTATATATAGAAATTGATTATTTTTTAACTTATCAAGAGGCTTGACAATAAGACATATTAGTCTTCTTCTCGCCCCTGCTACCTATATATCTTGTTAGTAACAAAAAATAAAAATCTCCGACAGAGAACGAAGTATTTCAAAGCGAATAGTTTTTATCATTTGTCTTATTGTGATAAAAGAGGGGAAAAAAGCGATTTTTTTTTTAGTTTTCTCAAAACATGAAAAAATGACTGAGGCGATTATGAAATGGCCGTTAAAATTCCATTAAATAAAATATAGAATCGTTCTCATTTCAAAAGCCTACTCTCGAGTTCTTAATAGGGGGACATTAATTTTTTGAAAAAAATTAATGTCCCCCCCTTCCCTCCCAAGCTTATTAAGACCCCTTCCCCGTTTATTAATTTTTACTTGTTATCAATAACAACAACAAAATTGGTGAAAATTGGCCTTAAAAATAAAAGAATAGTTATTTCAGTCAATGATAAAAACAAAAACTTTCAGTGTAAACAGGCTTTAAAAATTGTCGACAAGTAAACCTCAACTTGTGGAAAAGTTACTGCTGATAATCTTGACTTTCCACAAGTCAAGATTATCAGCAGTAACTTATATCAGCATATTTAATCCTAATGAAAATACTATAAAACATCAGTTAGAAAATGCGCATTTGACCACAAGCCATGCAAGAATTATATAGTTTTTTGCATGTTTTGTAAAAAATATTATTTTGGATTAATAAACTAAATTAAAATAAAAAACTTTTATTGTAAAATAAAAAAAATTTCCATACCAACCCCCTCTTTATTAGATCTGGACTAAAATTCCCCACCCCTTTTATCGCCCCTTCCTTGTATAAAGGTCGAGATTACTTACACTGCAAAAAAAATCCTTTGTTCCAACTAATTCTTTTTATTAGCCAAATTCATTTCAGAGTCCTGGTTTCGAAATTAATTCGATGTTAAGAAAAAAAATAAAGATGGTAACTTTATTATTAAAAAAACCAACTAAGTAATACTTTCGTTGCTACTTTTAGTTCCTAATTCATCACGATTAAAAACGTAAATGATTATAAAAGATAGAAAAGAAGTCTTATGTGTTACTTTCAAGTACCACATAAGAGTGTATTTACTTATTTAAAGCTAAAGAAAAATGAAGCCTAATAAGCTACTAAATATTGTTATTGAATAGCAAACACGCTTTTTCAATGCAGCCTCACTTAAAATACCTAAAATTATAGCTGAACGGTTATCATAAAAGATCTTTTACGATGAGAAACTTAGTGAAGATATCGTTTACAAGTTTTGTGATAAAATGAAAGGGAACAGCGGACTTCCTGAAAAAATATAAAAAATGTTACAAAGCTGCAAAATAAAATAGTTATCTGCCTATATGTTGCGTGCATTAAATCTATGAGTATAAAATTATATAGTGACTACTTGAGATCAGTTGTTTTACTTTTTGATTGACATACTTCTGAAATAGGACATTGCAGTTGTCCTGTTAGTTTTAGCACTGGGTTGCTTACTTTCACTTCTGTGTTTTTAAATATAATAATGATAAGTCATCAACTACAATAAAAACTATTTAAAAAAAAAAAATTAGGCTCTATTTTGAACAGAACAGTTATAAAGTTTAACGATTTTTTATGATTAACTGAGTCTTAAAAAAATAAAATTAAAAAGATGACATAGTTGCTATATCTGCAGATCCAGAACTAAACTATTTTTAAAAGGATTTATTGTTTAGAAATTGAAATTTTAAAATGTCTGTTTAGATGTAATGTGTTTATTTTGTACTAATGAAATTGAAAATTGAATGCAAATCATCTGTTTGTCAACATTTACATTACAAATACTCACAAAGAAGTGCCTTTGATTTATAAGATTATATTTGTTTTAACAATCTATTATTTAATCCAAATATACTTTACATAGATAACAATACTAAAAATATTGAGTTCTTTATCAATAAGCTCACAGATGATATAAATGATAATAATACTAGGAAATAATAACACTTTTAAAAATAATACCAAAAGTGTCACTACTATCATCCCAAATCATACTGAAAACAAATCAGGTGATTGGGATGGCCGTATCATAATTTTTATAAGTTTTTCTTGTTTTTTTCATTTAAATAGGACATACACAACTTTGAAAGCATGTTTCGGATCATTATCCTGTTGAAATATGAAATTTGATCCAATAATTTCATTTCCATAAGGCAAAGCGTGGTCCTGCAAAATTTGTAAATATCCTTCTTTGCTAAGTTTGCCATCTATTTTTACTAATTTTCCTTGCTTATTATTTCCGAAACATCCCCAAACTATTACATTACCTCCATCATGTTTAATTGATGGCACTGTACACTCTGGCAAAGCAATTTCATTCTTAGATAGTCGGACAAAAACTCTTATGTTTGAACCGAAAATTTGAAATTTCGATTCGTCCGTCTAAAGTCCATTTTTCAAGTGTCCAATATTTATGAGTTTTAGCCCAAGCCAACCTGTTTTTTTTATGTTGTTTTGTTAATTTCGGTTTTTTAGCTGCTACACATCCTCGAAGACCGGCAGAGTTCAATCGTCTTTTAACTGTTGAAACTGACACTGTACTTGTACGAATTTCATTTAATCTCGCTGCAATTTGGGGGGCTGTTAAATCGCTTTGAAGTTAATTTTATAAATTGATCTTCATTTACTGTTGTATTTACTTCATGTACTGTTGTAATTTTAGGTCTCCCACTACGTTTCCTGTTTTGATTACTGTTGGTTTCTTGTTGCCTTTTTAATGTATAATGAACCCCTTTTGCAGAAACACCCAGTTTTTTTGCAATTTCTCTCTCACTATACCCTTTCACCTCTAAGTGTACAAACTGCACTTCGTTTATCAATTGTTAACTGAGATCGTTTTGCCATTATAAAAATTAAAAATTTGTCTAAAAACACCACTCGACTATAATTGGTTTAGCGCATTGTTATTAAAAAGATAACTTATCGGTCTGCTAGTAAATAACTGACTGAAAGATGTTTACTAATAATTTTCGCAACATAGTTTTACCGATTTCATGTTCAGACAGGTTCAGACGTGTTTGTTTTGTTTATTAGATAAAATGACTTCAAAGCGTCTATTACCTTTAAACATAAATAAAAGTAGTTATATAAATCAGATTCGATTAAAAACATAGAAAAGTATATTGACTTGTAAGAAATGATGTAATTATATTATAAAAATCGATTTTATCAATATATATTGACATTATATTCAATTTTTCGAAAAAAATTAATTGCTTCCAAACTTTTGAGCAGTAGTGTATGAAGCACTTGTAATGGTTTAAAAGGTTATTTGTTATTAGTAGAGTTAGTAGAGAGATTTTTTATAATAATATGGTAAATAATGACCTTAGTAACCTCATGGCTCCAAAACGATTTGGTATTAATTACATAAGCATAACATAGAACAAAATGAAAAAAGGGTGGCATGATCACAGAAAACATAAAACTACAGCTGCTTTACGATCTAATTTACTTGGTCTTTTAGGAAACATTTTTTTGCTTTATATTAAATTGGAATGTTTTTTATAAAAGGACATCTACACCAGGCAAAGGCAATTTTAAAAAACATTAAAAAAAATAAACTATTTAAAAACTTCTTTCTAAAGCAGAAATTGAAAAATGTCTATACTTTATTAGCCTAATCAACAATAAATATGGCTCTAGCCCTGATAAATTAGTTCCATCAAGTTTGACTAGACTAGACTAGAAAACTCAAGATTGTGTTGATTGTGTTAGGCCATGAACAACAAGTAGAAAATTTTCCTCAACTTTATGTTCAATGCCAGCTACAGATTGAGTGTACAGATGCAATACATAACGTCTTTTAATCATACTTGCTAGAGACCAATATATCAAACATTTTCAAATTAAACAAAATTATACCTTATTAGTAATTGTTAAAGAAACAATAAATTCAATATATGGTTGTAAGACAAAAAATTTAAATTATCTTGAAATCATGTTTTGCAATCTAATTTTGCTATGTCAAAAGTCAATTTTGGCAATCTGGTTTTGTTATGTTAAAACCATAATTAAAGTTTATAAAAACTTTGCTCCCATTGTTTCCATTGTCCCAAAGTTTGCTCCCATTGTAATTTTTTAAAGATAAAATCATTTTTAACATTTAGAAAATTTTATTTTTGAACTTGTGTATGTAAAGGACTTCTTTTATGATTTTTATAACTATAATTTTCTCTTTGTTAAATTGTACTTTGGTTTCAGTATATCTCTTTGCTTTAAAGATTGATTCAAGTTTTATTTACACATCTTTTTTCTTATTATAAACTGGAATATAAATGGCTGGAAAATAGTTTATATTTTGGCTTTCTTTTTATAAACTTGTTTTAAACGACTTCGTATAGGTTTTTTTTACACTTTCTGATCTTGGTAAATGATAGTAATTAAGTAGACCGTTGGAATCATTTAATTTAATATTATTATAAAGCATAAAGCAGATGCACAATACAAGTAAAGTGTTTTTTTGTACACTTTTTGATCTTGGTAAATGATAGTAATTAGGTAGACCATTTGGATCTTTTGATTTAGAATTATTATAAAGCATAAAGCAGAAGCACAATACAATTAAAGCGCTTTAAAAATCTGGCCAGAAAAAGTATAAGTATGAGGATGTAGAACACTTGTTAATACTTTTAATTACCTAGTGTTGATTTTGGCAGATATAGAGCTTTTTATAGTTTTTGGTTAACGCCCACCTAAACAATTTTTGTATTAAAACTTTTTTCAACCTGTTTCGTTTTGACCTAATATTTTAATATATAATTTTTCGCTTGATCATAATTTTTAATGATTTCTAAATGGATGATGTAAAAGCTTTGACTCTTAAACCGATGATGTAAAAGTTTTGACTTTTAAAAAAATATAATTAAAATAAAAGAGCAATTTTTTAAAAAAAAAAAAAAATATATAAAACTTGTAAATAATTTTAATGAATTAAACTTTTATCATGTTTATTTTGTTAGGCTTTAAGTATTACCTTCTAGGAGAATCCATGTGAACTAAATTAGGATGAAGTTCTAAAAACTCATATAGCCATATTTTATTATTTTCTTTCAGAAAATGAATTTCATCAACAAGATCTGTTATTTTATCATCATTTTCTTTTTCTTCGTAAACAAACGACTTTAAAGGAGCTCTCAATAGATGCGCTAGAGCCGACTTAACGTTTAATTTAGGTTTTTTATAAACATATTTCAATGACTCATTTTCGCTTTCTATTCGCTGTGGAAAAGTTTCTTTTAAAGAAATATTGGATATAGTTACATTCGACATTTTAGTAACACTTGACATCCACTTCCAAAATATGGGTTCATTTTTCAACCATTGTGAATGCAGCGTAAGTAAGTATACCTGTTGCGTTAAAGTTGGTAATAATTGTTTTTGTAATTTTTTATTACCGAACAAAACAAAATCTAATAATCTGTTTATTTCAAATTGCTCCACCATTATTAGAGTTAAGGGATATACTCGACTCAATAGTTTTGAAATATTTCTTGCAGAACTAAATAAAACTTTAAAAGTAATGTCAATATGCTTGCGCAATATAACTAAATCGTTTAAAGTTGAAATATCAAATCTTTTTATTGCAGAATCATTTATAGTATATAAAGGTTGAAAAACCTTTTCTGAAAGAACAAGAAATGCGTCTTCTCTTAAGTGATCAATGAAACTTGTTTTCTCGAGTAAAAATCCAAATACAAGTAGTAACTCTCGGCTTGAAACATTTTCTTGATTACATAGACATATTACTGATAAACGAGGATACTTGAGTACCGATAATAAAGAAATAATTTCAGAAAAGTTCACTGTCAATATTTCAGATTGAGAGCGTTTTATTATTGAAGTTATTATTAGCATCAAAAAAGATCTTGCTTCCGATTTATCAAACTTTGCTTGGCGAATAACCTCTGGAGTTATTTTGGGATAATTATGAAAATGAAGAAGTTGACATAATATTTCAATTACCTCTTTTATATTAATCAATGTTTTTCTTTGTTCATTCATTGCTCATTAAGCTGTTAATTTAGTAATTAATTTTTTTTAGTTTTAAACTTTCATAAATAATAACAATGTATAGAAAATAACTAACAAAAATAAAATTAAAAAAAATATGAAAAAAATAAGAAAAGAAAATCTGAAGAGGAAACACAGTAACAATAACACAGTAACAATAACACAGTAACAATAACAGTGAACATACATTATCTGTAGGAATAACAAACTTTGCTTTGTAAATTTCTTGAAAATTAATGATTTGAGACCAGTGAAAGTATTCGATATTTAGATCTTCCTCCAAAGCTTGATTGCAATAAATTAAAAAAGTATAACCATAAAAATATGTAAAAATTAAAATAATAATTAAAGACTGAAAGTTACTTAAACGTTCAACTCTGATTTCTCTTTCGTCCCGAAAGATTTGTAATTTTCCAGTAACTGAAACTAAATCTCCAAGATTATACGAACAAAGAACAGAAGGTAGATTTTCATTGAGCCACAAACAACAGCTGATTACTCCTGTACCATCATCAACTAAAACAACATAAACAATATCTAATCACTGCTGTACCATCATCCACTGAAACAATTTAAAAAAATGAAAAAAGGTAGAATGTGGGGAAAAAAAAAAAAAAAGGAACACTAAACATTTTATCAAAGTATATAATAAAAAAAAAGGAACAAAAAAAGAAAAATCGTAAAGTCTGAGAAGGCATTCTAGCCAAACACTGTATTTGATTATTTATTGAACATACCTTACAACAGTTTTGTCACACAGCAACAAATGGATTACTAATCTACTTAAGCCAACTTACAACAAATGCAGCAACAAAATTACAGCAACAAAAACAAATTACAACAAAATTACAGCAACAAAAACAAATTACAACAAAACAGCAACAAAAACAAATTACAACAAAACAGCAACAAATGGATTACTAATCAACTTAAGCCAAAGTTGTTGTTTGCCATTACGTTGCGTCATTTTTAATGTTTTTCTTGAATATTATTGGCGAAACTTCAAAATACTATATTTTTAAATTATTATAAACGTATCTATTTGCGTCAAAGTATAAAGATTAAGCGTTTAAGTACAGTCTTGATGTCGTTTTCTTTTTGTTTATGAAACAAAACGTTACAATCATAGTCCCGAAGAATTTCAATGCGGTTGAACCTCCATCTGTTTTATACTTCCATGGTAAACCAAAACTTTTAAAAAGTACAGTGAAAAAAGTTCAGTGGCTGCATAATGTTGTGAGGCCACTGCATAATGGTGCGTGTAAAATTTACAAAGCTAACATAAGTTCTTAACATTTTTTTCTTACATAAGATAAATCTTTTAAATTAAGCTAGCATACAGAACAAAATCTAATTTAGTATAAACTACATCTAAGTTGGTATAAACTATAGTTAATTGTGACCAATACAAAAATATAACTAAAATAGTATGTAAATAAATTTCATTTATAATTTTATGGAGCAGAGATAAATGTTTTCCAGATTTTTAAGCAAAGATGTTTTACAAAATGGATCATGTAGAGATGTTTTACATACGCCTTAAACGATTTTACGTAAGCAGTAAGCAATTTCGGTTAAGCGACTTTAACTTTTAAATTATTCTATAAGCTAAAATTTATCAGTAAGATAAAAAAAGTAATAATTTAAAAAAAAGTCACATTAACTTTTGAATGACGTTTCTGCGAAAATATTTGTTACCAAAGTTTGAATGACAATTATGTTTGAAATATAAGCGCTATTTACTAATGAAAAAAACTCAAATAAAATTAAAAGTTTATTTTTATTTTATTGTAATGATTGACTTTATAAGCTTGAAGCAAAGATCATAAAAATATAATTCAATTCTGATAACAAATATATGATTTAATTTAAAACTAATTTAATAAAATTATATAATTTTAAAAAAATTTAATTTAGATTTTAAAAATATGTAATTTAATTTTGATTTAAAAAATATATTTAAGTTTATTATTTATTTTTAATATATTTAAATATATTTTTAATATATTTAAGTATATTAAAATATATATTTAAGTTTAGTAAAATAAAAGTTAATGCTTGGGTTTAACTTTACTGTCAAATCTATTTAAAAATATGACTAAATATTGTTCAATATTTAAATTTTATTTGTTCTTAAAAAAAAATAGCTTATTTTTATCGCAATTGTTTTTTTATCTACTTTTTATTTATTTTTATATGTTTATTTAATTGCAATAATTAAAAAAGGTTAGTCTTTAAAAAAAATTAAAAAAAAGATAACTTTATGACGTCAAATACCGCGTTAAGCATTAAGCATTTTTTATTTAAAACAAAGCCTGAATTAATGAATAGCAAATCTCTCACTGAGTCCTCTTCTTTACTTCTTCTTGGATTATTGTTTACTACTGACCTTTCATGGAAATTGTATAAACAAATCATGCAAATCTCTTATTTGTCCCTGTATGGAACACTGATGTCATATTTGGGCTGGTTCTTCTAATGATGCTCTTTCTCTTCTTGACAAGGTCTAGAAGAGAAAGAGCCAAAATACCAAAAATGCATTGTAAACGTAGGTGGACCTGCTCTATCTGCTGAACTTAAGCCTCTTCCCCATCATTGTAAAGTTGCATCTATTTTTCTTTTCTACAAATACTATCATATCATAGTCACTGCTCAAAGGAGCTATTATTTCTAGTTCCATCAACTAAAATTCATTCTCCCTTGACGTGTCATTCAGCAAAGTTGACGCATCATTCAGCGTCTCATTCTTTTACTATTACTTTTACTATAACTATTTTATCCCTACTTGCTCTAAAAATTTTTGTCTAGTTTTTTTTCCCTGCGCTCAAACCCTTTGGAAATCTCTCGTCTTCATGTTTTTCTGATTCATACAACCTTCAACTTTTTAAGTCTTCTGTCAAACATTTCCTTGCTCTATAACTATTCTTTTTTTCTAGTTCCCAACATGATAGTGGTTGCTTGAAGGCTTGTTGTGAGTGAATCAGAATAAAAATTTTAAAAAATTTAAAAATTCTTTTAATTTTAATTTAAATGATACTTAAAGCTTAAAAATAAAATTAAAAATAACTAAAATATATAAACATTAAATAAAATCAAAAACTTTTTAAGTTGAAGAAAATTAAGGAATCTTACCAGCATATTTGATAAAATGATTTGTCAAATGTTTACTAACAATGCAACCTAAAACTTCAAACCTTGTAATAGGATGTCCGTGCAAAACAAAAACACCTTAAAAAGAATGAAATATTAAAAAAACAAAATTTCTACTGAAACAAAATACTTTTATATAAAATAAACCGACATTCTACCTTGAAAGCCTTGAACTTGAGGTAAGTTATTGATCTGCTTTATGAATAACTTTATACTACATCTATGCAAAGGATCTAATCCCCAAAATTTTACAGGTGGCAAATTACTCAAGCTTACATAATCCATGTACTAATAATAATAAATTTAAACTGATATATATATATATATATATATATATATATATATATATATATATATATATATATATATATATATATATATATATATATATATAATATAAAACACATTTGATATTTCTAATTTCTATAATAACTTTTGTAGTGATTACTACTGTTTACTGTTATTTTTATAAATAAAATATATAAATGAGGTTTGCTATATTTTGCCAACCTCAAACACTTCTAGGTCGGCAGTTAGGTCAGCATTGCCGAATGCCAATCCTAATACCGAGGGTTCTATATATATAACTTATATTGCATGTTTAGATAAGTGTTATACTGAAATAGCCAGCTGCCAGAAACTTTAGTACATACATTGAATGAATAAATAGAGGTCAAATGCTATGAGTGCTTCTACATTAAATAAGGGTTTGGGTTGGCGCAGCAATCTTTTTTTTATTTTTTTCATTTTTTTCTGAAAAAATTGATGGAATAATGTAAGCAAAGGTGGCAATATATAAGTTTGTGTATATATATATACACATAATATATGTATATATATATATATATATATATATATATATATATATATATATATATATATATATATATATATATATATATATATATATATATATATATATATATATATTATAGCTTATTACACTATACCCAAAAAAATTATAAAAAATTTCATTTAATGTGAAACTTTTATTTGCTGCCTAATATTTTAAAATATTAAAGATACCACATCAAAAAAGAAAAAAAGAACAAAAACTACTGTAAGTAAATCAAGTCGAAAAATACAAAAACAGAATTTACATTTAAAACATATTCCCAGTAATAAAAAACAGCAATGACTTAAAAAAAGAATTGTTTAATAACTTTAAATGAAAAATATTAAAATTAAATGAGAATTCTATACAAATATCCATTAGTCAAAATCTCCAATAGAATTTTCTTGTTTTATACAAATTTACAAATTTTTATGTATTTCTTATTCCACATAATGTATAAAACGAACTCTAAGATATTCCAAGTAATTCCATTCCTCGTTGTATTGAAGCAGGCATAAAAAAATAAGATGACACTAGACTCATCAAAATTACACCAAGTAAAATAAAATCTTATTTTTAATTAAGGAAAAGTTTTAATACTATATATATATATATATATATATATATATATATATATATATATATATATATATATATATATATATATATATATATATATATATATATATATATATATATATATATAAAGTATAATTAAATAGAAAAATATATGATTTGTATAATATATATGGCTGAAGATTGCCAATAGGCATAAAACTTTTAGTTCCATTATAAAGTTGTATATTTCTATTTAATTATACTTTATATATATATATATATTGATCTATTTTGTAAAAATTGCTTTTACATTATATTGATCACTCTTAAGTAAACAAGAATATTTGTATACAATAATAAACAACAATATATATATATATATATATATATATATATATATATATATATATATATATATATATATATATATATATATATATATATATATATACAGAGCCAGATTTACAGTTTTAGGGGCCCTAGGCCAAAGAAAACCTGCAGCCCCATATTTAGAAATAAAATGTTAATTTAAAAAATATAATCTTAGTTTAATGTAATTAAAGGTTTCGATTTTTTAAAAATATTGTTTAAAATCTTTTTCTGTATTTTTCATTAACGAAATCATTAATCAATGAATCTAAATTAATTGACTTCATTTTGTCTGCGTTATTTGATAATAATGCAAACTGTTTAACGTTTTTTGTGACATAGTTGATCACAAATCATTTTTTGTTAATTTTAATTTTGAAAATGACCTTTCTCCAGAACAGTTGCATATCATAAAACATATGAAAATCCTAAGAATGATTTCAGTATTTGGAAATGTAGCGTCTGTTTTTTTTTTTTTTATAAGTTTGTACAAATCCATATGATATAAAATTTTCTTTTAAATACAGGTGTAGATGTTCAATTTCTGCATATAAATGTTTTCTGTGTAGTCTTCCACTAGACGATTAACGCAAGCCTTCAGCTTATCTTTATTGAATCTTGTGTCTATTAAAAACACAAATTTGTCATTCAATTCCTGATAGCATTGAGCTCTTTCTTTTAAATTTGTAGTAAAATTGATGGTTTTCAAAAAAATGTTTGTCTTAAACTCTTCATGTGGACTTAATTGAGGTTCTTCTGATTCATTTTAAAAGCGCTTTCTTATTACGGCGTCTCTTTTGTAAATAACCTATGTCTGGTAACAGTAATTTCGCATCTTGTTCTATTAAATCGAATGTGTTAATTAATCCAAGAAGATAATCACCAAGAGAGAAATAAAGTTCAGCACATGTATCTAGAGTAATAGTTGCACTTTGCAATGATTTGGAAACAGCATTCATTCATTGTAAAATTCGATCCCATATTTTTGTTTGATCCCATATGTTTGTAAAGCAAATTCAAAAGTTTACATTTAAAAGCAAATTTGCAGCTGCAGCTTATGCTTTTGTTTCAAAACTTTCACTCTCATTGATTTTGAACCACCCTACCATTAATTTATAGTGGTTTTGGTGAATGGTTTTGAACGAGTGAGTCAGCATGAGCGCTCCACCAAGTATTCAATAGTAATTTTAATGAACTACTTTGCAAACTGTTCCAAAACACTCCATAACTTTGTAGAAGCAGAGAAAAAATTTTACAGTTCTTGAACATCACCAAAAAAATTGATTCCCTTAATGCAGCAATCTACAGCAGCCTCTCCTATTAAGTTAAGAAAATGACCTGAACATGACAAGAATTTTTCCAGCTTTTGAACTCCGAAATTCTACTTTTCATGCCTTTATATTTTCCACTCATATTGCTTGAGTTATCCAAGTTCAATTTTATGTCTAAAAAGTCCACGGTTGCATTTGCTAAATTTTTCTCGGTGTGATTATTGATGTGAATGAAGTTGACAAATCTTTCAATAGTCTTATTAGAAATTTGATCAATGTGCCTCAAGATCGCACATAGTTGATCTTTGTGACTCACATCAGGTGTTGAATCTACTGATAATCCATAATAATTAGATTTTAAAACATTGTCATTGATTGATTACAAAACTTTTATTGCCAATAATATAATTAATTCATCACATGTATTCTTTAAGAGGTAGTTT